TCCAGGTTATTTTGATATAAACTATCAAAATCAACAGGTTATAATTGCTGAGGACACGGGTTAGTGGTGCTGGGGGAACACTGAACTCCATCATCTTAAAGGTCTTTTTCAACCTGAACAATTCTGTGATTCCAGAATCCTCACAGGCACCAACAGCAAAAACAAAACTTTATTCTAAAAAGGGAATCAGGGTTTCTTACTGCTAGATCATTATTTAGTGTCATTATCTCTGGTATTTATGTGCACAAAGGTCAAGGGTAGCAGATCTTCCCTGAGAACAGGGACATCTATCAAGTCTGGTGTCACACTTCCCAACTAAACCCAAGCCACAAAACTCAAAATACTCTCAGCTTCCAACACCTGAAGCAGTTAAAAGGAACCAGCCTGCTCGTGAAAATGTTGTTTTGGTTTTTTTGAGAGCCACTGGCAAGAAATAAGGATTTTTAATGGACATACACAGATTTATTCATTACTGTTGTACTCCAGGCCAATGCTCAGTCTGGAGCATTCTGAGGCATCACAGGAATTATTTTGTAGTTGTGGCATCAACACGTTCTAGGCAATCCCCCAAATAAAAATGCTGTTTATTTTTCACCTCCAAGACTTTTTATTTTTCAGCCTTTTCTAAAAGCAACTTTGAACTACCAGGAAAACAAGGATTCTTTGGAATTAACCTAAGACAAAAAACTTCTGTCCCACATCCTGCAGGAAATATTCCCGAGCTACCCAAAAAGAAAACAAATCAATTCTTCATCTTTTAAATTTTTTTTTGCTTGAAACTTTCAGTGAGTGGCTGTGATTTCATCAGCAAACTTCCCAGCATGACCAAAGGCAGAGGAAGATCTCCAGAACCCTGCACTCAGCAGTTTTACCCAGAAAAAGGAGATGGAGCAGGAGGGCGAGTCCCAACCTGCTGCCCTGTGTTCCCACCTTGTGTCACTCCTTGCCTTTTATTGCTAAAGCTTCACTGCTGCCAGCACAGCTGAACCATTCCTGCAAAATAACAGGGGCAAAAATGTCTGGTTTTGTTCAAGGCTCGGGGTTTTGGGCTTAGCACAGCGTTGTCTGCCTGCCCCAGGACGTTTTCTGAAAGAATTCCATCCTCAAGTGTCAAAAAGCAAAATGAAAACAGTTCATTTTGGTTTTTGTAACACCTGGGAGTGTCAGTCATTTCTGGGTTTCTCCTTCCTGCTCTGTGATTTTTCTCCTCAGGAAAAAAAAAATAAATTAATTTTTATGTCTACACATTTCTGGAGGACAAATTATAAAAATATGAGGAAAAATTTCCCCACTGAAAGGATGGTCAGGCACTGGAATAGCTTGCCCAGGGAAGTGTGGAATTATTATCCCTGGAAGTGCTGAAAATTGTTCAGTGCTGGATTCCAAGGTCTGGGAGGCCTTTTCCTGGAGATAAACCCTTTATTCATAAATCTGAAGACATTCCCCAAGTTTTATCAGCACTAAACTTCAGAAAAAAAAAAAAAAAACCCTGTCAGAGATGGCAGTGCAAAGGATTTTCCTCCTATTTTCATTTTAGATATTCCCAGGAGGAGAATTCCACTACTTCTCTTTGTCTCTCAGTGTAACTGTGCTAAATTTTCATTCTAATTCTTCAGTGCTCCTTTAAAAGAACAGAAAGTTCCCTTTCAGAGCTCCAGTAAAACCACACCTGGCTCTGAATGGGTCACATGTTTGCTTCCCCTCCTCTGCATCCACAGCAAAAATTCATGGAGAGCTTTCCTTTGCTGAAGTGTAATTTGCAGTGCTACAACTTTTATTACTCATTACATTTATATTATTTATTTTTATATATTTACATTTATTATATATATTATTTATATATTATTTATATTTATTATTTATTTTTATATATTATATATTTCTATTTATTTCATATATTTATATTTATTTCTATTTATTACATGGCAGCAAGACAAAAAAAACCAACCCTTGAGTATTATATTCAAAACACGTGATGGTTTTAAGCCATCATTCCCATTTATTTCCACTTCCAATCCCACTTCAGGAACCAGCAGGGTGTTGTTTAGTGTCATTTCTAACAATCCAAAGTGCAAAATGGCAGCAGGGAACAGACAGACTTAAACACCATCTCAGAACAACTCAGGAGAGAGCAGAGGATCTAAAGGGACTTATCATGAGTCAGGGATTTGAAACTCTTGTAAATAATGCAAATTTAATGCAACAGATCTGCATCCTCTGCATGCAGGGCTGCTTGCCAGGCAGGAGAGCAGTGACTGCTCTGAGAGGAGCTGCAATCCAGAGCTGCTGTGATATCAACATGCATCACATCAATAATATTCTACACCATCACTAATATTTGCCTCCTTTTCTGCTTTCCGTTTTGAAACGGGGAAAAAAATATATCCTGGTGTATAAACAAAGATGTCAAGGATGAAGAATGCCTGCTGTCAGCATGAGAATTCAAATATTGATTATTTTCTCTGGTGAAAACTCCCAGGGCACGATCTCTTGATGCAAAGGGAAAGTCTCCAGGCTCAGTGGTGCCTTTTGAGTGTGGAATCAGGGAATTATGGAATGTCCTGAGCTGGGAGGGACCCACAGGGGCCAGGCAGTCACAGACACCCCAAAATCCCACCCTGGGAGTGCTGTCCAGCCCCTCCTGGGGCTCTGGCAGCCCGGGGGCTGTGCCCGTGCCCTGGGGAGCCTGGGCAGTGCCAGCACCCTCTGGGGAAGAACCTTTTCCTGAAAATCCACCCTAAACCTCCCCTGAATAAGAGATTTTCAGCTGCAGGGGCCACTTCAATCCAGACATCAAGAGAAATCACTGGTTGGATATTCCAGACTGTTCCAATACTCAACTCATTGCAACACTGTCAAAAAAAAAAAAAAAAAAAAAAAGAAAAAAAAAAAATAAAAACCCAACAAAAAAAGAAAGAAAAATTTAAAAAAAAAACACAAAAGAAAACCATCAGTGTAATAACAAACTGCCATCAACTTTTCTGATGTTTTTCAAGCCAAAGTTAGAAACATCATTAGAAATAATAAGCTTGTTCTGAAATGGAAGAATGTAAAATAAAAACCACTGCCAAAATCTGAAGTTACACAACGAGCACTTGAGAATTTCTTGTTCAGTAGGCTGACTGCAAACACCTCTGTTTCCAGAGGAGGAAAACCCCAATGTGAGTGCACTGTAGAGCCTGGAAAAAGCAATGTTAGTCCTTACACTAACATCCAGCACACTTGTTTTGTAAGCACATCATTTATTACTCAGAATCCCAGACTGGTTTGGGCTAAAAGGGATTTTAAAGATTTCATTCCACACCTTCCACTATCCCAGGCTGCTCCAAATCCCATCCAACCTGGCTTTGGGCACTGCCAGGGATCCAGGGGCAGCCACAGCTTCTCTGGGCACCTGTGCCAGGGCCTCACACCCTCACAGGGAGGAATTCCTGCCCAAAATCCCACCCAACCCTGCCCTCTGGCAGGGTAAAGCCATTCCCCCTGTCTGGCACTGCAGGCCCTTGTAAAGATTTGTAAAGATTCTCTCCCTGCCATTGGAAGGCCACAGTGAGGTGATCCCCAAATTTCCCTTCTCTTTAAGGTGACTCTTCCTCAAGGCCAACTTCAGTCAGGGTATGCTAGGGGAGAGGGTCTGGGTATGGCAGGGGAGAGGGAAAGGTCTGGGTATGCCAGGGGAAAGGGTCTGGGTATGCCAGGGGAAAGGGTCTGGGTATGCCAGGGGAAAGGGTCTGGGTATGCCAGGGGAAAGGGTCTGGGTATGCCAGGGGAAAGGGTCTGGGTATGCCAGGGGAAAGGGTCTGGGTATGCCAGGGGAAAGGGTCTGGGTATGCCAGGGGAAAGGGTCTGGGTATGCCAGGGGAAAGGGTCTGGGTATGCCAGGGGAAAGGGTCTGGGTATGCCAGGGGAAAGGGTCTGGGTATGCCAGGGGAAAGGGTCTGGGTATGCCAGGGGAAAGGGTCTGGGTATGCCAGGGGAAAGGGTCTGGGTATGCCAGGGGAGAGGGTCTGGGTATGGCAGGGGAGAGGGAAATGTCTGGCTATGGCAGGCACACATCACCTCAGCACAAGGTGAGGAATTTTCCTTCCCTCGGGCAGGCTCTGCCTCAGGACAGACTGATGCAGGGAGCCTTGAGGACAGGACACAGGCTGGAGAAATGGAAATGCTTCAGCCTTGGGAAGCTCTGGAGCCCCCGTGAAGAGAAAACCCCAGCAGAGGAAGGACTCCAGCCTCCAGGGATTCCCTGGATTCCCCTGGCAGTACTACACAAGGGTACATTCTAACCTTGATTACCAAAACTTTTATGTTTATGGGGGAAAAAAAAGAGCAGGCTGTAACCAAACCCTTCAAAAATTTAATATCTATCCAACTGTATTTGTAACCCTTGCCATTTATCCTGTTTTCCCTATCTGCTACTGCTGCTCTTACTGATTACATCATGGAGATCATCAAAACAAATCCTCGAGGCAGCCTTTGGAAAAGCCCTGGCACATCTCTCCAACATTTACATGCAGCTATCACCAGGCTGGTTTTTAAATCATTTGGAAAAGTCTGTCTTACTTTTCAGGCCCTACCTGAGCAGTGACAGGTGAGACACAGCAAAACAATGCTTCTAACAGGTAGAAAAAAATAGAAACCCAACCAGCAGAGGCAAGCACAGCACATCCAGAGCCCTATCTCAAGAGAGACAGGACACCCAAACCCTTCACTTTGCTAAGAAAAGACTCAAAATCTCCCCACTGGTTTTCAGAAATGAACCCAGTTCAAGTGAACATGGGAATCATCTCTCACTGCTGTTGAAACAACAAACCGGCACACTGTGAAAGAGCATTTTTTCCTGCTAATGGCCACAAAATAAAACCATTTCTAACTCCAGACACTTCAGCATCAGAGGTCACACACAAAACCAGCAGAACACAGCGGTGCAGAGACGATGCAGCTTTTAAACCCAGCTGAAATGCACCATGACTTGCAAACCACCCCACAGCCACATCACTCACTTGCTTTGAAGGACAGTGCTCGCTCTTCTCCTCTGTCATCTTCCCGCTCTTGGGAGCCCTTCTTGGCTGCTTGATGCTGGTTTTTATGGCAGGCCGGCAGACATAATTCTCCAGGTTCTTGGGAGGCTTTTTCGTCCTCTTTGCTTGAAGGCCAATCTTCAGTTTGAGGTTTCCCTCGGAGAAGTTGGTTTCTTTCACCGAGAACTGCTGCTGCGCATCGCTCAGAGCCTCGCTCTTGCCGCTCTCGGCGCTCCCCTCCCTGCTCTTCTTCCTCCCCTCCTCCTCCTCCTTGCTGCAGCCTTCGAGCTCTGCCTCCCCTTTGCCCAGCAAGGTGCCAATGTTTACCACAGAGGGGCTTTTCCCAGCAAACCCTTCAGAATCAGAAGCCAAGCCTAACATAGCAGTATTCCGAGGGTCCATCACAGGAGATTTGCCTTGGGGTGATTTTTTAGGGAAGGTTTACAGAGGTGTGTTCCTCAGGAGAGCTGTTCCACTGTGGGCACTCAGCATCTTTCACTCTGGGGGAGGAAAAGACACACAGCATGAACGTGGATTTTCTAGCAGAAATTAAATTAATTCGTTTTATTTAATTTAATTCAATAAAAACAATGTAGAAATGTGAAATCAGTATATAAATAATGATACCTAAAACCCATATAGAAATAATAATATATAATAATAATAATATATAAAACTAATATATATAACCTATATATAATATATATAACCTATATATAAATAATATATAAATAATATATAATATATAAATAATATATAAAACTAATATAAAATAATATATGTACAAAACTAATATAAAAATACGTATAAAACCAATATATAAATAATAACATATAAAACCAATCTATAAATAATAATATAGAAAACCCAATATGTAAATAATAATATATAAACCCAATATCTAAATAATAATGTATAAACCAATATATAAATAATATATCTAAAACCAATATATAAATTATATATATGAAACCAATATATAATAATATATAAAAATATATATAAAATAATACATAAAACCAATATATAAATAATATATAAAACCCAATATATAAATAATAATATATAAACCCAATATATAAATACATAAAACCAATATATAAATAATAATCTACAAAACCAATAGATAAATAATGTTAAACCAAACATAAAATTAATAATATATCAATATATAATATATAAAAGCAATTAGAAAGCAAACAATTGTACTTCAGACAAGCACAGCAGCTGATGTTCCAAGACACCAACGCTTCCAGTCACCTCCTTCAAAACCTCAATTTATCTGTAAAACACTTTTAAATGGTAAGTGAAAAATAAAAAGTATAATTTCCAAATGATCCACATGACATTTCAAATGATGGCTACAGATTTTAATGTTGACCATCAAATTCATTTTTTTATTTATAACCAGAGCCCAGTTAGTCCCAGCCTTGTTGTTCCTGGATGCACTGGAAGAGCTGCATCTGAGGAAGAAGCACCCAAAGTCCACCAATATTCTGGTTTTAAATGAAAGCCATGAGGAAGCACCCAAAGTCCACCAATATTCTGGTTTTAATTATTGATCATCAAATTAATTTATTTATAACCAGAGCCCAGTTAGTCCCAGCCTTGCTGCTCCTGGATGCACTGGAGGAGCTGCATCTGAGGGAGGAGCAGGCAAATGAAAGCCATGAGGAAGCACCCAAAGTCCACCAATATTCTGGCTTTAATTATTGATCATCAAATTAATTTTTTTATTTATAACCAGAGCCCAGGTAGTCCCAGCCTTGTTGTTCCTGGATGCACTGGAAGAGCAGCATCTGAGGAAGGAGCAGGCAAATGAAAGCCATGAGGAAGCACCCAAAGTCCACCAATATTCTGGTTTTAAATGAAAGCCATGAGGAAGCACCCAAAGCCCAGCAATATTCTGGTTTTAAATGAAAGCCATGAGGAAGCACCCAAAGCCCAGCAATATTCTGGTTTTAATTATGTGAGCCACCAGGAAAGCTGAGCCACGTGTGCATCAGTTTACAAACACACCACGAAATCCTCGTTAGCTGAGGATTTTCCTCAGTTCAGGAAGAAGGATGGGAGAGCAGATGCCAACCCCAAACATTCACACACTGCTTTTTGTGCTTCCTGAAGCAGGACAAGAGGGAAGGCCACCTGTTCTTCTGAGCTTTCTGATTTTACATTCTTGTAATGAATTTTCTTATGTGTTTTTCTCTAAATAATTATTGGTTTGCCTTTTTTTCTAGAAGAGAAATTTAATAGACTGTTGGTTTGTCCAGTGTCATTGGAGAGGTGGCACTGTCACCCTCCAATCCACTGTCACTTTTTAAAATCTATAAATATTAAAGTCAAAAATTAAATGTCCCTCTTTTTACCTTAGAAATTCCAATATCCACCATTCCAATATCCACATTGTTTTATTTCATACCCTATAGCAACACCCACACTTCCACCAGCACAGACACTGGTAGGAACATAAAACTGACCTATTTAGCAGAAAATAATAGAGGGAATCATCTTAACTACAGGAAATTAGAGTCAAGCTCTAAGTTTGGGAGGGTCCCCAGACCCTGAGCTTCTCTCCCTGCCAGAGAACAAACCAAACCTGTGCTCCTTGTCATGCAGACAAAAATCCCAAAATCCCAGAACAGTTTGGGCTGGGAGGGACCTTGAAGATGATCTCACCCCACTCCTGCCATGGCAGGGACCCCTTCCACTATCCCAGGGTGCTCCAAGCCCTGTCCAACCTGGCCTGGAACCCTTCCAGGGATGGGGCACCCTGTGCCCAAAGCCATCCCCCCCATCCTGTCTCCAAACCTTTTTAAATTCTCTCTCCATCTTTCTTGCAGGCTCACATAAGGCACTGAAAAATTATTTGTTGTGAGGGTATCTTAAGAAGAAAATGTTTAAATATCTTCAGCACTTTAATACCTTTATGAGTTTTGAAATGAAATGGATCAGAAAAAGGTCTGAAAAAACAGTGATTTGCTGAAAAGTGCATCACAGGCACCAAACCAGCCTGAATCTTCTGTCCTTACCTTCCCTACAGTCATGAAGTCATTTATTAAATCATTAATTGTGAGCAACGGCATGGATCTCAAAATGAGTTTCAGATGAAGCTCTCAAGGAGCCCAGCACTTTTCTGGGATGTTTGGCATCCTGGCAGGTCAGCAGGAGCACAGAGCACCTGGCCTGAGCAACGGCAGGGAAAGATGTCACGATCTCAAAATGAGTTTCAGATGAAGCTCTCAAGGAGCCCAGCACTTTTCTGGGATGTTTGGCATCCTGGCAGGTCAGCAGGAGCACAGAGCACCTGGCAGGTGCCACAGCCCCTCTGGCCAGACAAAAACTGGGGAGCAGCACAAGGAGATGGTTTTGGGGTGGCTCAGGAGCATGAGAAGGGAAAAGGATCAAGAATGTGAAAGGCAACACCAGAAAGCACCAAGGCAACTGCAGTGGACACCAAGAGATGCCAGGATTAGTGGGGGCAGAAGAAATGCTGCTGGGAACACCAGATGCAGCCAGACACAAAGCCAGGCTTCCCTGGCTAAGTCCTCAGAGAAAACAAACTTATTTCCATGTGTTCTGTGCACTTTATTGTGGGGTTTCTAGCTGCAGCTCTGGCTTTCCAACTACACACATCCTCAGCAATCAAAGCTGCTGTTATTACTGATAAATGCAGAGGTAATTAGATAAAATCTCCATTTTAGAAGGAGAAAAATAGGGTAGAGCAGTGTGACATGGGCACAGAAGGTCAGTGGCACTGCCCAGTTCAAGGCCCAGTGTTTGTCCAACAGGCTTCACCATGTCACCAAAAATGGGCTTTTTCTTATCCACCAGTGTGCAAGGAAAACTGGCCAGCAGGTAAATAATTCTGAGCTAAAGCCTGAATTCAATAATATTTAAATAATTCTGAGCTAAAGCCTGGATTTGTATTATTCAAGCCCAAGAAAAGGGACAATCCCACAGGCATATAGATCAATGTGCAAGGAAAACTGGCTAGCAGGTAAATAATTCTGAGCTAAAGCCTAAACCATTATAATATACTGTAGCTAAGAAATAGTTAACTTCTGGTTAGAATTATAAAATCTACATTCCAAGTCTTGTTCTGAATTATCCCTCACCCATGGTGTCAGATTAAACCATTAATATATTGTAGCTAAGAAACAGTTAACTTCTGATTAGACTTATAAAATCTACATTCCAAATCTTGTTCTGAATTATCCCTCACCCGTGGTGTCAGATTAAACCATTAATATACTGTAGTTAAGAAATAGTTAATTCTGATTAGAATTATAAAACCTACATTCCAAGTCTTATTCTGAGTTACCCCTCATCCATGGGGTCAGATTAAACCATTATAATATATTTTAGTTAAGAAATAGTTAACTTCTGATTAGAATTATAACATCTACATTCCAAGTTTCTGATTAGAATTATAAAACCTACATTCCAAGTCTTATTCTGAGTTACCCCTCATCCATGGGGTCAGATTAAACCATTATAATATATTTTAGTTAAGAAATAGTTAACTTCTGATTAGAATTATAACATCTACATTCCAAGTTTTTCTGAGTTATCCCCCATCCATGGGGTCAGGTTAAACCATTAATATACTGTAGTTAAGAATAGTTGACTTCTGATTATAACATCTGTATTCCAAGTCTTGCTCTGAATTATCCTTCATCCATGGGGTCAGATTAAACCATTAATATATTGTAGTTATGAAATAGTTGACTTCTGATTATAAGATCTACATTCCAAGTCTTATTCTGAATCATCCCTCACCCATGGTGTCAGATTAAACCATTATCATATATTGTGGTTAAGAAAGAGTTAACTTTTGATTGGAATTGTAAGATCTACATTCCAAGTCTTGTTCTGAGTTATCCCTCACCCATGGTGTCAGACTAAACCATTAATATACTGTAGTTAAGAAATAGTTAATTCTGATTTTAACATTTACATTCCAAGTCTTGTTCTGAGTTATCCCTCACCCATGGTGTCAGACCAAACCATTAATATACTGTAGCTAAGAAACAGTTAACTTCTGATTAGAATTATAACATCTATATTGTGTCACCCTTCACACGAGGTGACACAATATAGATGTTATAATTCTAATTGAAAACAAAATACAAGTGTTTCAAACCCAGCTGCCCCATCTCTAGGTCAGAAAAAGCCTTCATGTGACACGTGGGATTTAAGGTAACAAAACTTTTGCTGCATCCAAAACCACCCAGCACCAAATCCCTGCACGGGCTCTCAGGTGATGAGCAGGACACGTCCTCAGCACCTCCCCACAAAGCAAACCACACCAAACCCCCAGCCCCTCAGCCAGCAGCTTCTGCAGATCTCAAATCCCTCCTGAAAGTGTTCTTCCCCAAAAAAAATTAACTATGAAGCATTTTAAGATCCATTTTGACACGTGCCACCTGGAACTACGTGCTGTTCATTAATGATTTCTCTAATGCCATGCACTGTTTTCATAGCTGGAATTCATCCTTATTCCCCTTTCTGCCCATTTCTGTTCTTCTGATCCTCTGCTTTCCCAAAAATAAAATGCCAGCTCCCAGATATGTTTCCCCACACCCCCTCAGCAACATTAACTGAGATTTCCCCTCTTTTCATTCCTGCTGCTGCTTTTCTTGATGAAAACACACTGTCATGTCATGTTTGGAAGGTGGATATTTTTCTTTTGGCTCTTTTCATTGCTTCAGCTCCAAGGGACATTAAAGCCAATTCAGCTAAGTGTTAGAAATCCCAGAATATTACTACTAACTCTGTGGCCTCCCACAGTCCCCTCTCAAATTCCTTGTCTTTTCTTTGCTAAGGAAGACAGACCACACTCAGAAAAGAGAAATAAAAAGTGGAATAAAGCTTTAAAGTATTTCTGTGCATCACAATTCCTGAACAGGGGAAACAGGAGCCTTGGATCAACTGCAAACATCCTTAAAATGTTTAGAGATGGAGACATTTCTCTGGAATAAAGCTTTAAAGTATTTCTGTGCATCACAATTCCTGAACAGGGGAAACAGGAGCTCAAGATCCCTTGGATCAGGGCACAAGCATCCCAGGAGCTCAAGGAGAAAAAGATATTTCTCTAGAATAAAGCTTTAAAATATTTGTCTACATCACAATCCCTGAACAGGGGAAACAGGAGCTCAAGATCCCTTGGATCAGGGCACAAGCATCCTTAAAATGTTTAGAGATGGAGACATTTCTCTGGAATAAAGTTCCTGTTTGCTTTACAGGAGGTAACAAATAAAACACTTTGCAATCAGAATCTGCTGGGGTTTTTTCCTGGCAGACAGAAATCCCAGGGGACCTGTCTTGTCAGGAAGAATATTCCACAGAAGTGCTGGGAGCAGAGGCCACGCTCAGGGAAAGCACCTGGAACAGGACACAGATTTTTTGGGAAGAAAGGCAGAGGACAGAGATGGTAAAACACCCTGCAAAAATGCTCCA